TCTGTATTCATTCCCCCCACTTGCTTGATTTGTTTTATATGTTCTTTTCCTAAAACACCCACTACGACTCACTGTTAGGGCATGGGCTAGATGAGTGTTTAGCCTGATCTGAAATCGTTGTGCAGTGCTGCAGTGCTTGCGGTAGGCAAGGGGTCTGTCAATCCGCTGTCTTGCCTTTTACAGTCAAGTAAGTTCAGTGGTTGACCTCTGCTCCGTGCTCGTGTATCACTCAGTGCAATGGGATCTTGCTTGCAGTGCTCCCATGGGAGCATAGCATAACGTGTATACTGTTACTGGTACTAATAAAAAAGGCTTAATTAAGTTTTAATCTGTTAGCATTATTGCTTTAAGGCTTTTTACATTGCTTTTTTGAATATCTTTATTTCTTTCAAAGGAAAATCCCATTGATTTGTACAGGATTATAACACTAGAAAATGTCATGTATCGGGATGTGCCCGAATGACCTTTGCCGTGCCAGCATTGTGGCAGCAGTTGATGGCATGAAGATGAGATTGATTTCCAATAGATGAGACCTGACAGGCTTTAACTACTTGAGGCAAACAGTTACACACACGACACTTCATCCTGCAGTGAATTACTGCTGTAGTTATGCCACCACTGTAAGGATTTAACTGAAATTACCCCCTGGAATAAACAATAGGTGGGAGAGAAAGGAGGGAATCTCTGGCTGGGAAGGGCAGGATCAGGTAAGCTCAGGGGGCAGGTTGGGTGTCGTAATGAGGCTGCTGAGTGGGTGAGCAGTGTGCTAGTGCATACAGATGTCCTCGGATGACTTGTTGGGTTATTTATTCTTCTCTTCCTCCACGTGCATAATTTCCACTGCCATAAACACGTGTTAGGCATGAGTGGAGAGGAGGAAAGGGGAAGAGGCTTTTTAGTATTTAACTTTGTAGTTACTTTTGCACATAGCCAGGCACAGTGAATACCCCATAGTTACAGATGTCCAAATTTAACCATGGATGTGGACAACTCCCTTCACTGGGCAATTACTTGGCTGTTTTTATAGCAGTATTTGGATATTTGAACCATTCATGGTGGTTGTTGCTTTACCAGAGATTAGAGGCTTTTAAAAGCCTGGGTCTCCTAAAGTGGTCTGGAGCTGCTTTGTTTTGTAAAATGCTCTCCCTATGCAGAAAGAAAATATATATTTTATAGGGAAGTGGCCAAAACACAGAACATGAGCAGGGAAAATGTCTATGATGACTTTACATCCTCTGACAATAAAAGTGAGAGGCATAAGGGGCTGCTGTGTTGACCACTGTGTCTACTAGCAGACTTCAGTGCTATGTTGGTGGGTTCTGCACGCAACCTCTCGCCCAGCAGTGCTGAGAGCTGTTTAGAAGATGTGATGGGTGTGAACTGAGGAACTGCCAGCTCGGTGGTTGGGGAGGCTGGTGGCTGGGAGGAAGGTGGTTTTGGTAGTGATATGTTCCACCACTTCAGAATCACTTGTGCTGTGTTGGTGGGTTGAACTTGCCTGCTCCATGGTGTGGTGCGTGGGATGAGTGAGCGCCCAAGCCCTCTGAAAAGGGATTTATTCTGTGGGATGTGGTTGTATATGTAGATCCACTGGATCACATGGTGGATGGTTTACTGCGGCTATGCCTGGGCCCAAGGTGTGGCTGAATTTGTGCAGTGCTTTCCCTTTCCTTTTTGCTCAAGACAGCATCAGGAAATAGG